AGGTGTGTGACGCGGTCGAAGGAGGTGACGACCTCTTCTTGGTATGCCTCAGCCCGCGTGGAGGTTGCAAAGAGCACTGGCTAGACTTAAACGGCTAGGACTCACTACAGGAAAATCTCTGGAAACATGTCCTTTTGCTGGTGGAAGCAAACTCGTGAACACCTCTCATGTAACCCAACCCTATACAATCTGTGCAAAGTTAAAAGCAGAAGCCAAGCTTGCCATCTTCTGCGACCCTGCGATCCAATCATCCAAACGCGAGGCCTGGTGGGCCTCGCATGACGCCAAGGACGGACGCGCGCAACTGTCTCGCCGGTCCCGTGCCGCCAAAGCAATCCTGTGAACCCAAGATTCGTTTAATGAACCCCAGGAACGATTGATAGGGAGCGTCCCATTCAAGGCAGAATCCTCCACTTGGAGACACTCCCATTCAGCAGGTCGTAAATCCTCAGGTCGCTACCCAAGAGAAGACATGCGCAGTTTGGTGAAAGCTGGCCATCTGAGCACCCCGGCTGGGTAGGACCAAGCCACCACGTATTTCTTCGCCTGCGTTTTTTTTCCCGCAAAGAGGAGCGGGTGGCGATTGCATCCATGCAAAAAGCGCCAGCGATGGCACATGGCAATGAATACTGGTTTTCAGGTCAGACTCCAATCTAAAGCAGGGTCATGCCGACAATGAAACAAGGCTCATGATACAAATGTTGCGACCTGTCCCAATTGTTGTTGCGGATTCCTGTGTCGAGATGCCACAAAAAAAAGAGTGGTTGCCTTCAGCTGCTGATCCGGAAAGCATATCCGGACATGTTACGCATGGGCCACATGCTTCTGCAAAATACTCACCCTCCCATCCACCGACACGGAGCTTGACTCTGGCGTGCTTCATGGCATCGCATCCTCAGTACTCTCTACAGATTAACATGGAATCCCGCAAACCATCCATTGTTTTCTGCAGTCCCCGTTTGGGATACCTGGCAACTGACGATTTTGCCAACAGTCAGTGGCAAGTTCATCCCAAACGTTGACCCGAAAAATACCAAAAGGATCCCAGGGCCTGGCCCCCCACGCGAGGGAACCATTCCCAACGCGCGACCTCAACGCCCGTAGCATCGCGCGCGCGGCCTCGGGCAACAGGCGGGTTGGGTTTTTGGGTTTGCGGGAGGCACTCCGGGGAGCCCCGTCCCCCGTCCGGATGTGTCCTTCCTTGAGGCCCATCTTTTGGTGGCTGGAAAGGGAGACCAAAAGAACACGACGTTCTGCGGAGTTGAAGGACACCACACGGAAAGAATAAGCAGGATTTGGCTGTGCCCCACCAGTGAAGGCCACAAGGACCATTTCGATAAAGAACTCCGGTAGATTGAGGTACAGCCCCAGAAAGGGTACATCACCTGGGTAACGCACACTGGCTCTTGAGCACACTGCGTAGCAGGCGGAAAATTGCGAAATGAACTCCTCTCCGGAAATCACGCGCTAGTACCGAATCATCATGTTCAAACGGTCTTCTGCCCATTTCCACGTTGTCGGAAAGAGGGAAGCACCAAACCTTGGTACATTACACGCCGATTCTTGATGATCCGATTTTCCCTAGTCGCCATATCCAGCAACATGGAACTGACTCGGGGGTCCTGGAGGACCATGTTACTCCAAATGTTTAGCTGCTAAAACATCCAAACGTGTCGTCAGGTTCCCAGCGGAAACAATTTACACACAAGGTCGAGCAAAACAGTGCAAAGCAAACTAAGCCCGGCAACCGCCCAGTCACCCCAAAGGGAATCCCCGCTGCCCTGCCCATTTGAAGAGCCAAAGAATGGAATAAAGTGCCACAGATCTGGCATGAAATGGCCCGCTTGCTCATTGCTAGGGAAAAACACCTCCCTCAAAAAGCTCCAAAGATTCACGGTAACAGTGACCTCTGTCAAGAGCCCGCACCTCTACAGCAAACCCCTGGTCGGGAACTCACTTGAGGCGCAGGCCCTCAAAGACGTACATGCCCTCCTTGAGAGGCCTCAGTCCGCGCATCCTTCCCCCGGAAGCTCCAGGTGGCAATGCAGCCATGGCCATATGCATGGGCTTTGCATTTTTGCGTGTACAGCATCATTGTCAGTGGGCACGAAATCTCTCCAGAAGACTTCCCACTGACGGAACAGGAAAATAAGCTCATGTGATATCCCCAACAGCATTCGGTGCTCTTTAGTTCTCGCACCACCCCGCAGCCCTCGCAGAAGCTCGTGGAACCCTCTCAGAACCTCGTGGAACCCTCGTGGAACCCTGGTGGAACCCTGGTGGAACCCTGGTGGAACCCGGAGCCCATCTGGGTTGAGACCCCAAAGCTTTCAGCTGTTGGGGAAAAAACAAAAGAAAAACCACGCCTTGATGAGACCATGTCAACGGAAACCATCAGTCAATTGCGACTTTTGGAGATTCGTGGAAGAGGCGCTACAAGTTGGCCGAGCGAGTCTTTTGGCAGGCCAAGGCTTGGCGCCCGGCAAGGCCAGAGTGGGCGATCGCGACCAATCCTCGCTTGTCAGCAGGCTGACTCCGAGCCCTTTTGGGGGTTCTTGAAGGGAACAAGCGGAAATCGTTCCCTGTGGAAACCTTCAACCCACTTTGCTCGCCTTCTCGTTTCCCATTGACCCCTTCTTTTTGTAGTTCCTTTGAAGACTCTCCAAAGGAAAGGGCGCTAGTAAGACATTCGGCTACTGCAGAAGTTCAACTTGCCTCGGGAGGGCTCTTCAAACCAAAACAGAGGAGTCAGGACCCCGCTCCCCAGGAAAGGTTCGGAAGGTGCAACCTCCTGCCCAACTCAGAAAAGGCTCTTACCTTCTTGGCATGGTTCCGATTGAAGGCTTGCGAGAACCACACTGGCGGGTTGTCAGGGCCCTTTGAAGCGTCTGAGGAGTTCCGAGGTACCGAAAGCCGTCTCGCCTGAAAAAAGCCTTCGTATGGTCAGGCTCTGTTCTTTTGCGCTGCAAAAGCAAAGAAGCGCAAATAATGATAAGACCTTCCTAGTGTGCAAAGGTACTGCTGCATATCTCCGACACAATTCGCTCGCAATCACAACCGGCTCTTACGCTGAACCTAAAACGTCGGCCACGAGCCAAACAGAGGACATGGTGCAATTTGTCGAAAGCGCCGCTGGGCAAAAAGGATGTGGGTGAAGTACTAGCAGGAACCGGGCATGGACACTGGGCAAACAGGTTCCCTGGGGCACACGGGGAAACACACAAGATTCGACCATGGCAGTCTCCGGTTCCTGCAGTCACGTCCCCCATGTGTCAGTGCTCTTGGCAAAATACTCCGTATGCTTCACACAAAAGTTAGGGATCCCCAAGCAAGCAACCCTCATGCGCGAGATCGAACTCGGGCAATCCAAACCCAGCGCGCAAGTTCATTTGCAACAGGGAAACCCTCCACTTCCCGAGTTCCTCGTCGCACACTCGGCCGATTTTTTTGGGGGGCATCGGCCCAAGGCCCCAAGGGCCCGGGCCGACAAAGGCACCATGGCACCCTGTGGGACCAGCGCCGCCCTCGGTTTGGTGTGTTTGTGGGTGACCAAAGGGTGTGCATGAATATGAACTGGTTGGACCCTTTGGTGGATATGAAACTGTACGCGCGTCCACTAACCCTGATGCCGGGTGTTCCAAGTTCCAATACTAACAAAACCTATCCAAATGGGATTGTGTGTGTTGTGTGTGTTTTCTGCTGTCAAACAACTCAAAGCGTACCCTCAAAAAAATGACATCACCGATTGCGTGACCCAAAATGTGTTCCAAAGTCACACCAAGGTAGGTAGCCTAAGCAAAAACAACCAAACAAGCATAGGTGGCCTTTTGGGAAAATAGATGGCCCTGGTAAATGGAAGGAACTCCACCTAAACCAGTGGCATCTATGTGTAATCAAACTAACCTAAAAACGACACCTATGCAAACAAGAATACCGTTGAGTACATGTCGTTTGTATGTACATTACATGTTTTAATGTATACTAAATTTCTATGGATTCCATACATGATTGTTGTTGCACTTTTTTGGACCCTGGTGCTGCTACCGCTGAAAGGAGATAAAGGTTTGTCTCCCCTCAAAATGGGCGGGCCTCCCTTTGCCCTTCAAAAACAACACTAAAAAGGCAACATCGATTCGGACCCCTCCTGTTGCTTTTGCTGGGCTGTTGGGCTGTGGAGGGTTGTTGGGCTGTTGTGCTTCTGTTGGGCTGTTGGGCTGTTGAGCCCCACCCCCGCCCGCGCCTACTCGAATTCCCCTTCAACCATCAAAACAACGAAAGCTGTGCCAAGACCCGCGGGTCAGGCGCCCGGCAGGCGCTGGTCAGTGAAGATGTCTGCCTCAAAGGTTTGGAGCTGCGCCTGGGACCGACGGATCGAAACGACGGAGGTTGGCGAAGGGCTGGATGTCCCAGCGACCATTGTTCCAAACGGTCAAACCATGTCAGCAACCAAAGGGAAACCTTCTGAGGTTCCCCCCAAATATATCCAGAAGGGCCGGTCATGGGGCCTGCGTTTTGGCAAAGCAGTAAAACACTAAAAAACCTCGAGTCCATGCTTGGGGACATAGGGCCTGCAGTTTTGGTTTTTGTTTTTGGGCTTTTTTTTGGTTTCTCGAGGTTTTTGCACTTTTCCAGAAAAACTAAAGAAACCTCGAGAAAACAAAAAAACAAAAAAATGCAGACCCCATGACTGGGCAGTCCAAGCTTGGGGACATAGGGCCTGCAATTTTGTTTTTTTTGGTTTTTTTGTTTTCTCGAGGTTTTTTGCACTTTTCCAGAAAAACTAAAAACCCTCGAGAAAACCAAAAAAAATTGCAGACCCCATGGCTGGGCAGTCCAAGCTTGGGGACATAGGGCCTGCATTTTTTGTTTTTTGGTTTTCTCGAGATTCTTTTGCACCTTTGGGGACGGGGTCATCTAAAGCGAGACATCTGCCATCATTAGCCTCAAAACACATTCTCCCTCTTTCTCTTGTCCGCTTCTACCATCTTATCACGGTCTCCATGGACCCGGGTGAGATGCGCCTCCAGGACGCCATCGAGGCAACTAAGGCACTCTATCTTCGTGACCTACCTGCACACGTCTGCGTCGGGCCCATGCCGGTGGGTGGCTTCACACTCCCTGAGTTGCCCTTGAGAGATTTAGACGCCGGTGCCCCCTCCATCAAGCATTTTGTCGATGTGGTCATGGACATCCCAGCTGGTGACATGAACATCGAAAACATCAAGGCAATTTTCCGTGATCAAGCGGACGAGCTGCCGGCTGTGATGAAGCCGAAGAGCAGGCCTATCTTCGACACTGCGACCCAGTATATCTTGCTGCCTCAGACAGATGGAAACATTTGTCTGTTGAAGCACACCTACGTTGTCGATGAGAAGGTCACGGGACAGTATGTCATTAAGATGCTTCAGGGAAAGGGCTACGAGATATCCTGGGGGACAGGGAACAAGAAGTGCGCAAGGCCTTCCAGTGGATGTTGGAGCAGTTGTGTGGCACGCAATTCAGGCGCTACACTCTTTCCCCAGAAAAACAGAAGCCAGTAACTGCAGCGCCCCAGTCGGAAGACGAAGGATGGGCCTTCCTCCAAGAGCATGGAGAATTGGACAAGAGTGGCTTGAAGCAAATGAGGTGGATTCATCACCACATCAATGCCGAGGGCTGCCCAATCAAAGGTTGGTTTGAGAGGTTGGTGCAGAAGGCGCTGGACTCACTGGCCAATGATACCACTACAGCCAAGCTATGCAGACGATATGACTTGACCGTCAAAGACTTCGAGCCCGAAGTGCGACAAGTGCTGGAGATTGTCCCCCACCTCCGGGATCAGTCCCTATGGCTTCTGGGCGAGCCGGGCAAAGGCAAAACTCCCCTCGGCAGAGTCATAGCCATGGTGTTTTCGCGGTTCCATAGAGGAGACGGAGAGTTCCGAACCACTTCGGATCTCGACTTCTTCAAGGGTGTGCCCTTTACCAAGCGTACCCCCGCTTTGTACGATGACGGGAGCATCGGCAATGAGGAAACCAAGAAAAAAAAGCCTTTGCGGACGTCGCAGATGAGGAGACGATGACCCGGGCCCGATGGACGAACGCGAAGTTTGTTCGGAACCAGCTCCGGATTGTTCTGGATAACTCCTACAACCCAGATGCGGAGCCCGGGGACAACCTGAACGACGAGGACTTGGTGGTTTCTCACACTGCCTTCTTTTCCATGATCAGGCCCGCTCTTGGAATCATGGCCAACACCGATGCTATGGCCGTCATGAAGCGTAGTGTCGTCGTTATCTTTGGCAAGAACCACATCACCTTCCGCTTACCTTCGGGACAGGAGATCGAAGCCAACCGCATTCGGCGGAACAAGGTCGACATCATCAGGGGCTCCTCCAAGGGCATCTTAAAGAATTATAAAAAGGGTGGCCCTGTGCCAGTGGACTATGACCAGCAGTGCGCTTGGGAATCTGCCTCTAGCCCTTATTACTTCATTTTCTAATTGCATCTGCTTACCTTTTGTTCACCTTATTGATTTGTATTCAGTCTATTTTGTGACTGTCCTGTAAGGCATGGCTCCAGGAGGCTCTTCGCAAGCATGAGGAGCGAGTCATCTTGCAAGAGCAGGAAGCCAGGGAGCAGGAGAACGAGCTCGCAAGGCACAGCATCCCTTGTGTCAAGATGGAAAAAGAAGAGTATCATGATGTACATGATGGGTTGGCCAGAGACACCCGGATGGATCCTATTGATGTTGACACCGACCGTGCCAGTGAAGGATGGACCAACTGGGGAGACCAGCCGGAAGTCAAGGTCAAGCGGGAGCGTGTTGCCTTTCCTGGTCGGCTGCAGCCCCTATCCACTGAAGTCATTGATGTTGAGACCTGAGACCCCTTCCCCAAGCCCTCCACGGAAGCGTGCATGCCTTCCCAGTCAGTCCGTCGCGAACCCTGACACATTGGCTGGGATGGAGGGAGACCTCTCGAGTCCAGTGTCTTCTGATCACATGCCTGCTGTTGGCGACCAGCTTGACTATGACATGGATGTCTACTCGGAAAAAGGCGGCGCCACCGAGAAGGGTCACTTCAAGGATGTATGCTTGGATGTCCAATTCCTTGTGTTGCTGATGGGCCCTTTTGCGCCGCAGATGGGTGTCACACGCTGGCTCCGTTGGGCGCCAGTCTTCGCCTCATGCAGAAGTCGTCGCCTATGCGCAACGGCAAGTACGTGGTGCTGAATGTCCATGAGAACCACTTCTTTGCTGTCCAGCATGTCGATGGCTTCGTGTCAGTGCACAACCATGGGTCTTCATCTGTCATGCCTTTGTCATTCCTTACACACATCAGCACAAGCACAGACTTCCATGTTTTGAAGCTGGTCCTGCGCTCGCAGGAGGATGAGGAGTACGCGCACTGTGCCTATAGCCTTCGTGGAGGAGCTCTCTCCAAGTCTGTCTTCACGACTCACATGAAGAAGTGCTTGTGCGGCAACAAGGCGCGAAGGCCCACGACGTGAAAGCGATCGTCTATGGCATGACCGGGGGTATTGACGTCCAGGTTCGCACCATGCGCTGCACCTCATACTCCTGTCGTCGAACATTCGGCCCGAACTTCTTCGTGGACGCCGGCAGCAAGATCAACACGGCGACGCCGGAGGATATCGACGAGGTACTCTTCCTGAGCAACAAGATGGGCTTCACGGTGGACTATCTCAAGTAGCACAGCATGCTCGAGTTTCGGGCCTTTGCATCCACCAGAGCGGTGCAGGATATCTACCAGAGCGTATTCAACGTGGACTTGAGCGATGCTTCCAGTTGGTTCCGCAACTGCCACTCTGATGTCATCTGCTACTGGATGGCATTGCAGGAGTTGACCCCTCTGAAGTTGCACAGTTCCATTGTGATCGGGCGAGACTCATTCAAGATGCGCGAGTAATTTCTGAACCAGGAGAAGACCTGCTCAGCTGCGGATGTGTTCACATCTTTGAAGCGACGATGGAGCTTGGTGACAAAGTGTGGGTTGCATGGACAGGACTTGCGGTGGCCGCGAGCATGGAAGTAGTCCACGCACCAGTATTTAATCTGATGGAACTTCTCGATGCTCTTTGCCCGCGTGATGAAGGAGCAAGCACGGTCGAGGACGATGCCATTCACCTGCTTGTGCTTGTGGAGGATCTTGTCCAGCGCGTTCACCATCACCTCGTTGCCCTCTGGCTTGTCCATGCAGACAACGGATAGGATGCGCTGGTTGGAAGGGTTAACCAGCATGAACCATCCGTATCCGTAGGGCTTGCTCTTGCCGTTCGCGCGTGGCCTCCCTGCGTGGATTTTTGCCGCGCAGCACTTGACGTGAACTTTGGCGTGACCATCTGCGACAAGCTCTCGTACCTTCGAGCGATCTCTGGGAGGAAAAACTTTCTCATGAAGGAAGCTGTCATACGCCGCCAAGGAGCCCCCTGTGATCTCATCCCCATCACGCCATGCATTCAAGGCCTTGCTCTTTGCAAAATGGCATAACCAAGCTGTGAAGGACAAGAAGACCGGCTACTTGAACCAGTTCAGCCATGGCAAGCGCAAGCATGCTCCTACTCCCTATGCCTGCTCGAAGAAGCCAGCTGCCCGCTGCTCGAAGAAGCCAGCTGCCCGCTGAGTAGCCTTCTTGGCAATGTCCATGTCTGAAACCCTCAATGGCCTGATTAGACTGTTTCTGATGATATTACAGGTTGTACAATGTTGCTGTCATTATAACAAGATCATTGTGTCCGGCCAAGTTTTGAGTAGTAGGGGTTCGCGTTCATACCCATAGAGCGTACTGATGGATAGTTGTTCTATCACGATAGTTGATCGCCAGGGGATAAAAAAGAGCTTTGCTTGTTCATCCTGGGTGCAACATGTCTTAAAATCACAACTAGATCATTATTTCTTCTGCTGTGAAGGCCAAATGTCCTGCAAGTCCTAAAAAAGATGCTTTCACAACTCCAGGCCCCATGCCCGGCCGCTCTCAATAAAAGAGAAGAAAGGAAAAAACGGGGGAACAAAACAAAACGCGTTTTCGGCCTTTTTCCAACAAGTCCTTTTCCAGCCACGTCTCTCCAGTGGCCTTTCGAAGATTGCCAGAATGAGTGTGCGTAAGAATAAAACAAACCGTCAGGGCTTTGGCCTTTGGCGTCTTTTCGTGGACATATGTTGAACAAAGCAAGGCAAGACCCCCTTTGGGCTCTTGCAAATGGACAGGGCAGTGTTGGTTGAGCTTCTTATGGTGACTCCAATGAGACCAAATGCAGGCGTCCGCAGGTCCGTCGGAAGATGAAGCCGGGCAAAGGGACCTTGAAACACGTCCAAGTGCCAAGGTGCCTGCGTCAGTTTGTGTGATTGAAGAATGGAGGCCAAGTCATCCCGTCAGAACAGGCTTCAAATGTGCTTTTTGGGCTACTGTAAAAAATGTACAGTTTAGGGGACCTCTATTTCTTGCAGGCAGGTCTCTTTGCTGGCCATCCTGTCAAGAACGTGAGATTGAAGAGTGGGTCTTTGGGTTCACAAGCCCAATCAACCAAAGACAAAAACGACCTACGCACTTGCACGCCTGTCCAGCCGGCACGCCAGCTGGCCAGCTAGCTAGCCAGCTGGCCAGCTAGCCACCCAGTTGATCAAGCGAACCAACCAACCAACCAACCAACCAACCAACCAACCAACCAACCAACCAACCAAACAACCAACCAAACAACCAAACAACCAAACAACCAAACAACCAAACAATGAAACAACCAAACAACCAAACCCACCCACCCACCCACCCACCCACCCAACCAACCAACCAACCAACCAACCAACCAACTCAAACAAATTACAAGCACAAATGACTTAAACGCCCTCTCCTTTTCCAACAAGTAATGCGTCTCCCTACACATAAAGACAAAGGCACACCTCTTGAAGGCTAGCGCAAGGCCAAATCGCTTCCGGTTGGGTCCCCCTTCTCAACGACCCAAGAAAGTCGTGCCAGGTGTCCCGGCCATGAAATCATTGCGCATCTCCTCGGGCACCTGATTGGCGTCGTGGCCGTGTCTGTCTTCGGAGTTGGTACTCCATTTTGGTTGACCTTGGAGCAAAACCAGTTGGTAAACCCCCCCCCCCATTTTTTCGGGTCCCCTGGAAAAAGGACGCAGCCACGTACCCTCCTCCCTCTTGATTTTTGTGTCTGTGGCATTGTCTAGGGAAGCTGTGACCGCCACGCACGCAAGAAAGGTATGGCTCCTTCTCACGCGTTCGTTCTGCTTCATCCGGTGGGTCAATACCTAAGGTGCCTTTTTTGAGTACCACTCCACTGTCTTTTGTGAAGGCTTTCTGGGTGTTCACCGGTAGCCATCCAGACGGCATCCAGTGCCCACCTCGCCCTGCCTCGCCGTAGTAGTAGGTGTACTCCAGCGGCGGGTTCTGGCAGTGGAGACCAGCTGGTGTCTTTTTCCAGGAGGATCCCCTAAAATGGTGGTCTTCCTTTTGGCGTCCCTTCAAAAGCCAACCAAAAAAAAGAGTCCCCCATTACAAAACATGCACACGGCCAAATGAAAATACGACAACTCTCATTCATGACCTCGCGACTTCCTTGCTTAAATATATATATATATATATAATGAAATAAAATGCAGATGCCATCGAAGCCTGATCACAGCGCTCCAAGCAGTGGGCAACGAACAATAGAAATCGAGCATGCGGCTCGTCTGGCGGAGCCATGGCAAAAATGACATTCAAGCTTTAAATTGACGTCAGTGTTGAAGGTAGTCATCGTTGTCCTGGATGCTCGCAAATGCCTTTCCAGGATCTGACATTTGCGAGCATCTGACCGGGAATATTTCCGGTCAGATGCCTTTCCAGATGCTTTTAAAAATACGCATCTGACCGGCACGCAAATAAAACACGCTTGGGTCCCCCGCATCCGTAGACCAAGCTTGCTGCAGGCGGAACACGTCCTTGGCGTGCAAAAGCCCCCACCAAAGCCCGTGCTCCGTTGAGCCCAAGCTTCGCGAGTTTCGTGCGCCAAAAAGTGGATCCTGATGAGTCGTTGGTCACACCAAAATTCCATGTCCACATCGAGACTGTGCACAGAATCCAAGTCGACTTTCTCCGCTCAGAAAGGCAAACTGATCTAATACCTACTCTCCAAAAACAAGGTCGCACGCTCAGCAGGACCCGCGCAAAAACGCGCGTTTACCATTCAAATCTGCTGAAGGAGCATGCCGCAAGGTGCCAAAAAGTTCGTTTGTATCTAACAGCAGCTTTCATGCATTGACATGCTGGCATCGGGCACTGCTTGTTTTATCTCTTTGCCACAGAGACCACATGTTTAATATGTCAGGCACACAAAGACCGTCTATACAAGAATTGGTATGCTCTCGTCCACAGGCGACTGTTGATCAGGCCGCTGGGACCGCGGCTCTTCATCTCACTGGGCATGATATTTTTCAAGTGATGCCAGCAGCGATCAATCTGCTGCGTGCCCGCCAGCCATCCAAACCAGGAGGCAACGACACCCGTGCCAGGCGTAGCAGAATAAGCAGTGCGACTGGCTCCAAGACCGACTCCATGGGTGCCCAACGAAGTGCGAAAGTAAGGACGTGCGTGTGTTGTTGTTGTTGACGTTGTTGTTGTTGTTGTTGGATGGGATGTTTGTGTGTGTATTCATGCGGTTTGCTTTTGAAGTGCCCATCACTCCGCTTGCCACATGCCACATGCCCTGCTCCAGCCAAACTCGTGCCTGCGGGGGCGCAGTTCGCCCGCCTCTTCCCCCCCCGCCACACGCAGAAGACACCAAAGCCGCGCCTGCCGGGTCTGGCAACATGGTCATGGTCGCTGTCATCCCCCCCCCCCCCCCCCCCCACCCCTCAAAAAAGAAACGCCTCCACATGGACATGGTCGCTGTCATCCCCCCCCCCCCCCCACCCTCCAAAAAGAAACGCCTCCACGGGTCCGGTGGGGCGTGTCACCAAAAACAAGGATCACCAACTCAAAATCTTAGGTTGTTGCCAGGAAACAACTCTCTCTGACATTTCACTGGCTATGCTGCAGACGCCCGCTGCGTTGTCCTCATCGGCCACAATGGCCCGGGGTGGAACTAGCATATCTCGTCAACTTCGACGAAAAAAAAAATGACAACGCAAAGCACGCCAAAAAGGACCACACAGCGCCCCCACTTTTGAGCTGGCAAATGCGGTGCAAGTCACCGGGAAAAGAGTTCCTTTCTGAGGTGCAATGCAACATTCTGCTGACCATCCTGCTCCAAAACAGACACTAGCATGAAATGAGGGACCTGGCTTCAACCCCTCCCGGTGTCCCGAAACTCAAGACTTTGAACAGGGCACAAGGGCCTTGTTTTGAGGCACTTTGGGTGTCCTCCAATGGGTCGGATCTCCTTTCTGGAAAGCCAAATCGAGTCGAGCCCTCCCCCATTTCTAGGTTGGTGAGGGTTGAAGTACAGGGGACACCAAACGGAATCCGAAATGTCTTGCGCTCCAAATAACAAACCGATATGCCCCAATCCTTGCGTCCCAAAAACATGTGCCAACCGGTCCCGGGTCCCGGGCTGACATTGAAATGCCAATGCGACCCACGGGGTCCAGCCTGCGGCAAGGGACGGACGTGGAGACCAAAACCCTCCGAGCAGGGTTACTGAAATGGTCTGCCCATGGCCCATGTCTGCCCGAAGAGTAGGAAGCCCGAAAACGGGAA